TTCACCAATGCTTTCCCGAACGCTTGTCCTCCCTGGAGGTCTTCGTGCCAGCACGAACACCACTTTTGTTTCCGCAAGCACAAAGACGTCCACACCCGCATTAAATGTGCACTCTCAGTTTCCTACACCTGGTTTGATTGCTGTATCCTCGACTGGAGTTCCGGCGACGGCCCGTTGTCTTATTCAGTCTGGCCCGAGGTTACCGGGTGGACAACTAAATAGTCTGTCGTCTGCCCTTGGAAATTCTCCCATTGCACCCAATGATGGCAAAAACCTAGCAAGTTTGGTCGCGGCCAACACTGCAAAGCGCATTGTGATTGGTGGGCAGCAAGGTTAGGGCCTGTCTATCCTATTCCTATTAATCCTATTCCATTTGTGCGATCAAAATTGAGCAAAAATGACTCAATGTCACTCCATTATGTTTGCGTGCATCATGGCTGACCTAAGGTGACAAGCTATTGTCTAGCATTGCTAGATTGTAACTAATTTTATCCACTGGCACAGTTTTTATCTGTTACATACATCAACATTTACCGAATTATAAAATTTTTCCCATTGACTTTATCTGTGTGATCCTTTCTGCTAGATAATAGGATAGATTGAAAGAGATTAGTTCTTTGCATTACCTATAATATCCAGAATTAGAAATAACTCATTATGACAAGTGCAATAACTAAAACCGAATAAATTCAACTCGTCTGACCTTTAATTGTATGTTCTTGCTATAAGTTAGTTAGTTTTGGAAGAACCTCTATTGTTCATACTTCATGCATGTGAAGTAAAGCCTGTTTTATACCAGTCATTTAATAATTTTATTAGTAGGACCTTCATTTAAATCCATAATTGTGTATCCCTATCACCCAAATTTTCATTTCATTTCCATCTTATGTCATCAACTTTTCAAACAATTCTTCGAAACCAATCTTTTTTCATGTACTTGCAAAAAATTCTATTGACAAATCATAATAGGGTCATAGGATTTCCTATAATGGCTGCAGTACAAGGGAAAGAGGCCGTCCTCTTTTGTTGAGATCATCCTACGAATCTCTTCTTCGTGCACTTTAGACTGAATAAAATTGTCCATGACAATGTCATCTCAGGAGATTCTCCAAAAGCCAGCTACTCTTCGTTTATATAACTAGTGCTCTTGCCTGTCCAGTCAGCATACGAGGGTTGACCCTGGGTTTATTGATTATTTGTCCACAACTGCCCTACTCAGTACGAAAATTTTTATAAACATGCTTATTACTATATTGGCAAGGGCCTTTTTTGCTAATGCACACAACTGTAGGTTTTGTCAATTTATGCACTATTGCAAGATTGCAGAAAATGAGTTGGAAGTTGAATATTTCTATATCGGAGATTACGAGATTTTCATATCTTTTCCGAACTACTTTTGATATAATGTGTGGCTCGTTTTATCTCTTATCCTACCATTAACCACAGTTTTAATTCATTTTTAAGAGTATATAAGTTCTTCAATTTCTTAACCAAAGGGCAATCTTTCCATATCTGTCATTGTCACTGAGTGGCTGTATTCATATTTGCTTTACCTATATTATCATTGCAGACTGCTTCCTAGACCTGTTAGATTTAA